TGCCCTTTCCCTTCTCCCTTTCTTTCACCTCTCCTTTTCTATCCGCCATTCCCTACATCAGGGCTATTCAGATCACGGTCCTCAGGGTCCGAGCCCTGCTGACTTTCCTGCCATTCCTGTACCCGTCGGCCAGGTGTGAAACCTCTGTGGCCAATCAGAATCAGGAATCATTAAACTAACGACTTAGGAGAGCTGAAAACAAGGCCGGGATTTGTAATCGAGGTGCAGATTTGAAGAGCCCTGCTCTAGATTGATACCATTATCCTTCTCTCTGCCATTCTCTCTACGTAAACCCCCATCTGACGGCTACCACTGTGTGTGTCAAAGTCTCACCCTTCTTCCCCCCCTCCTGAGCCTTCTGTCCTTCCCGTCTCTGCCTCTGGGTGTGACTCTGTCACTATTCAGTCAGTTCAAAAGTTGCCCCAGTAGCAGGAGTTTAAGACCTTGTTGTGCAATGTCACCATCAATGAAAATCTCAAACACAAATACCGTCCATGTAAATTATTAAGAGTAAGCATCCTCAGAAACATCTCACTGACGCACAGCCATCAACCACACAGCACATATGGAACATACAGACTTATAATGGTTATAATTTCATATTATATATATATACAGTGATTATTTTTACGATAACCACTCCTTTAATTAAGATCACAGAAATCCAGAGCCTATTATGGGACGCATAGGGTGTAAAGCTACACTGTAGATGGAACACACAGCCCAACACATGACACTCATGAAACACACTACACACACATACACACACACACACCTTGTATTCATATTTTTGTGTATTATTTTCTACGGGCATAATCCTAATCCCAACTATGACGACCTTAACCCCTATCCAGCCCAAACCATAACCATAAGTAACCAAACAAAATAAAAGAGTTTTTGCAAAAAAGCGGGTATTCATCACGTTGTGGGGACAGACACACACACACACACACACACACACACGTAGGGCAATTGCCAGAGTTGCCAGTTCACCTTGAACTTCATACTTTCAAACTGTTGTAGGAAATCATAGCTGGAAAACGAAATCTACATTTCACTTATGTTCATTGTAAAATAGCTATACTTCTGATATATTTAAATATTATTAGAGAATATTGGGTCCATCGTTTTTTTTGTTGACATGGTGATAAAAAGTACCACAGCAAAAGGTAGGGAATGTACCAGTGGGAGAAATATTATGTTTTGCAAAGGCCAAGGTCTAGACCTTAATGTAATAGAAAAAGAAATGATAGAAGAAATTGCATGACAGAAATTAACTCATCTATCCATCCATCCATCCATTTCCTGTAACCGCTTGTCCTATTCAGGGCCACAGGGGGTCCGGAGCCTATCCTAGAGGCTGTGGGCACAAGGCAGGGAACAACCCAGGATGGGGCGCCAACCCATCATAGGGCACTATGGGCACAAGACAGGGAACAACCCAGGATGGGGCGCCAACCCATCACAGGGCACACACACACACCAGTCACACACACACCAGTCACTCACACAGTCACACCTATGGGAAGTTTAAGAACATAATAAATTTAAAAATGAGAGGAGGCAATTCGGGTCACCAAGCTCATTTGTGAAGAACTACTGTAATAGCTCACTAATTTGGCAACTAACTGAAACTAATATATAACAGAAATGGTGTGCTTTGACAATATTTTTACCATTCATCCTTCTGTGTTGCATAACTGATTTTCCAGTGCAGTGTTGTGGTGATCCTGGAGCCCAGCCTGGTAATCACCCGGCACACGGCAGGCAACATCCGGTATGAAATACCAGCCTATTGCAGAGTACAAAATCACACACAGAGTCACACACCATGGGCAATTTAGAGGCACTGATTAACCTAAACACACGTCTTTGCACTGTAGGAGGAATCCTAAATACCTTAGGTTACAGATAAAATTTTCAATTAGGAGACTCATTGCTGGCAGTGAGGGGCAGAGATGCACCTTTGAACATAGGATTAGGAAAAATCTTATAATTATTAATTTTGTATGGTCTAATTACTATTTTGCATTTATCCATCAGTCATCCACTAACCGATTCATCAGTCTGGGGTCACAGTGAATGTGGACAGTCAGTCCCATAGGTGACACAGGCTGGGACACCAGCTTCAGTGACGGTGGTGACTTGCCCGCCAGTTTCTCTTTGCATCAGACAGTGGGCACCACCTCGACTGGGACCGGTACTGAGTTAAGAACTTATCTGAAGAAATAGAGGGCATGAGGCAGGACACCTATACTCAACCCAGGGGCAATTTAGAGACCCTACTTTACCCAAACAAGGAGGAAACCAATGAAAATACAGGATAATATGCAAGATCATGCTGGGTGCAGGATCTCAAACCTCAGACCAGGAGTTGTGAGGCTACTGTGCCTTCCAGCCAGCCACCATACTGCCCATTTTACTTCATTCTTATTTATTCACACAAAATATCATTGGAGGTATATTTAGACTGGGCAACTTATGACACTGTCAGGATATTTTTGATGTACCCACTTATAACATACGTATATTAAAAAACAGCAAATACCTCATGACACAGTCAGACAAGGTATGCATATACATTTTATTGTATGTATCTGTATTTTCATACCTTTATGTAATTAACATGTATAGACTACAGCAGCATACAGCCACAATGATTTTACTGTAGCCACTAGAGTTTAAACAGAATGATGGAAAAACAAAAAACAGGCAGTCAGAAGCAGTTATCTAGCTGAAAAGGCCTTGTCAAAGAAAGAGGTCCGACAAAGACGGTCAGACTTATTTAGGATAACAGTGGGAGTGCGGTACAACAGCTGCGTTTAAGAAAGGCATCTCCAAAATATGTTGCATGTCAACACTGGACGTAGTGCTGGAAACAATACCAAATATCGTAGGAGTACCTAATAAAGTGGCCACTGAATGTAGGTGGAAAGGCCAATAGATGTTGGTTTATTGTACATGATCTGAATCAGTGAATTTCAACTTCTTCTATGCAGCAGGGCAAAACGTGAAATTCTTACCATAAAACAGAAGTAATTTTGACATATAAATGTTACTGCCATTGCCGTCTAATATGTGAATTGCAGAAAACTGATTACTTTACCGTCTGTCTTTACAACAGGATACATTATTGTAATAGCGTTGCTGATTGTCTCTCTTTCCATGCTCTTTCTTTATCTGCTTGTAGTCACCCAAGTTAGTCAAGGGATCCACTAGTGGCTTATTGCACATATATTTACCGTTTATGTTATTAAAGAAGTTACTTATGTGTCCTGTGGTCTCATGAATATGACCAGAAAAAATTACATAGATGGAGGCACCAGCAAGCCGTTAATGTAGGACGGCCCACAAGTCTGGAACCGTTTCAGTAATGACGCATGGCCAAAAAAATCACCAAAGTTACAAAAGAATGATTAGAAATTTAGGAAATGTTAGGCTGCAGTGATGGCCGCTAATGTATTCACAGCAATAAATCGAATTTAAAGGTTGACTTCTCTACAAAATGGTTTCTACACTTCAGTTCCATGGTTTGGGTGGCCTGGCAGATCAGTGGTAATCACTCTACACGTCCGGCTCTGTCCGTGTGGAGTCTGCACATTCTCCCTCTCTTCAAACACGACACCTCTAGAGGCTCTGTTTCCCTTCTGTGGTACAAAAACATGTGGCTGAGTTGATATCGCTACTTTGACCTTAATGGGTGTGTGTGGGCCCCTATGATAGACTAGCATCCTATCCAGAATGTCTCCTGCCTCATGCTCTGTGCCTCCTGGGAGAGACTCCAAGCTTGCCTCAAACCTGAGCTAGTTACGGATGAATATTGGATCATTCTTATTATAGTTTTTCATGCAATAAAAAATGACATATGTGTGCCTGTTATGCATCAACCTACTGACTGCTCATCGTGGTTGGGTCACGGGGGGGAGCTGGAGTCTATCCCAGGCAGCACATGGCTAGGATACACCCAGAAAAGGATGTCAATCTATCGTAGGGCACACATGCATACACACCATGAGCAATTTACATGCCAATTAGAGTACCGCGTATCGTTAGACTGCAGCAGGAAACCCACACAACACAAGATGAACATGCAAACCCCAGACACACAGAGCAGAGGAGAGATTCAGCCCTCAACCCTGGAGGCGTGACGCAGCAGAGCTGCCCACTGAGTCACCCGTCTGTTACACACGTTATCCTAAAATACCAGAGCTTGTGCAAAGATTGCATAAAATTTGGCTGAAACATGTAAAAAATAAAGCACATAAGAATTTTAGATGAGATGAGATCATTATATTCAATAGGTAGTATCAAGTAATAACATATTTCAAAAATGTAACACAATTAACTAACATAATTGTAATATGTTATTTGTTTTTTATGTATTTTATGGAGAACAATTTTAAGAAATGCATTTCATCTACGAATCTCAACTATCTTAGATATGTTGAGGAAATTCTAGTTATTTAAAAGTAAAACCAGAATTATAAAAACGTACTGGATACTGAGAGTAGGAGTTCAAAAGTGTAAAAAAAAAATCTACCGTGTAAAATGTGTAACGGCGACGACAGTTTTCCTGTTTCCGAAAATACCCAGCTAGGCTACTGTAACTGTGACTGCTGACAGCAGACCAAGCAGGAAACACGCCTTTCATAAACTGCTGTCCCCGCCTTGTGGCGACAAACGCAAAATAAGGCTTGAACCGTTTTACGTATTTATCAGGCTGTCCTGCCTAAGATGCTAAGAAAAAGGAACAAATTGATGCTGTGATTGAGGAAATAACACATAACAGACAGTTTGCATAATTAAGGTGTTTCTAATTTCTTACAGTTGTAGCGCTATAAATGCTCCAGCGTTTGTATATCTGAGTCGTTGTAATTCTGTGGCGTAGGCGCGTGACACTAAGACAATGATGTATGTGTTAAGGGTTTATTCAGCTCGCGCCGTTTTGATGACGTCAGTATAAGCATACAATTTTTAAATCAGTTATATATATAGTCAGTAACTGAATATTTAAAAAACGTATATTGGGGCTATTTTTATTCAATTTAATTTGATGGTTGACATAACATCAATCAAATTTTTGCACATCATGAGTGTGCTTTCTTAAATAATCGCTGTTATACAATACGTCAGTTATATTTTTATAGTACCGCGATTTACATTTTTAATATTACAATGCTACCTCAATCACAGATTACATACCGCAGGAACTCGATCTGTATAGTTCTGATCAGATGTCATTGCCATGACATAAATTTTATATATAAATGAGGACCAACCACATATTACCTTTGCCAATTAAGTCAGAACCGTATATCTGAATTTTACGTAAGTCTTTAAACAGCACAAGATAATAAATTTGTATGATTTATCTGCAGAACACGAGGTTCCTTCCAATGTCCTGCAGTCCCGCAGACTGAAGGTGGCGTCTTTGGCAAAGACGCCACTCTCTGGTGCCGCACTGCATTGTGGGTATGTCAGGTAAGCTCTTATAATACACTATCAAGGCGCAAGGGCAGTTTTGATGACAGCAGGAATGTTAATAAAATCAGTGTTTTTTTAAAGAATAATAAGCGAATATATGTATTGTACGATAGTTTATTTTTTTATAGATTCGTCGTTTTAATGGAGCTTCTGTGCGGGTTATTTTTTCTTTTAAATACGAAACACTTGGATCCTTAAGACTTCTGGAATTATCAGGTAAATATTAATATCAAAGATGTTAATATTGATTCCCATACCAAAATAAAATGTATTTGAATAGTTATCTACATCAGTTTTTTTATGGCAAACAAATTAAATATATATATATATATATATATATATATATATATATATATATATATATATATATATATATATACTTTTAGTTTATTTGAACTATTATTGTTTATTATATATAAACATTAAATTCATTAACATTAAATTTATTAACAAGTATAATTCACGCAGTTGTACTTTAGAGAAGTTCTTCATTCCTAAACGCCGAAATGCACAAGTTATATGCATGCAGCTTATAATGGAACTCAAAGATTTGCAGTGATGTTGAAAAATGACAGGACAATTAGTCAAATTTGTGAAGGTTTTTTGCTGTCGATGGCTTTCTGGAGTTTAGAAACAGCATGGATAGTGTGTGCCTTGTAGGCCCGGAAATGTCATCCGTAAATTGTGGTAATTGATTGAGTTGTAATCGATCTGTAAAACAAAAACTAATCCGGAATATGTTCATCACCAATGGACGGATTCAGAATTTACTAATGAGTTTTGGTGAACATCTTGGCAAGTTATGCTTTTTAATGTACCAATGAACTGTGACAGTTCGTCTTATTGAAAATCTACAGTATATATCCCTTAGTCTTATTAAGTATAGGCTACCCTTTGAAACTTTGCGGTCTTTAGTTTTAATGCGTATCCCACAGTAAGTATTTCGTTGATTCAGTTTGCCTGCTGCAAACAAGGTTTATTTAATCCGGATATAATTGGCTATGAATACAAGCCATTTTTCAGCTGATACCCGAATTAACGTTAACTACAAACTTTATAAATTTATAGTGGGTGGGAAAGCATCACTTACCATTATACTTCAATAGAAATTGATCTTACTGCGACTCTAAATTGGTGAGGAATAAAGCAAATCTTCAGTTAAATTTTATTGCACAAAGCAGATGTTCGCAAATCACAGTACAGCGACGTATGTTGCTCTGCCTACTAAAGCAAACTGTATTTAATTAACATAATGTCGTTTCAGATAAAGCAGACTATGACTGTTAAGTCTACAGTGATGCTTTATATTATGCATATACTTACTGTAGTAGTACTACTAATACGTATAGATTAAAAATTGCAATGTTTACTGGATGCCAAACACTGCCGCCAGGACAGTGATCATTCTGAATTTACGTAATTGTCATAGGATGGTAGAAATGGAAAACCAGCTTTTCCTTCTCTCTCTAGAGAGATCTGGACAAGGTGCAATGAGCCCTTTCCTTGTTTTGCGTGCCCGAATCCTTTTTGTCGGCTGATACCTCGGCTTCCCCGGGGGCAGTAACTGTTCTGCTGACTGAGCGCCGTGTCGGACAGCGTCTTTCGCGATGCACAAACAAGGTTGACGATCCCTTACAGTTCCTCATTATTTGCTTGCTTATTTATAGCTGATTAGGTAAACAAATAGCTATTTTTAGTTGCTTGTCCACTCTCGTTTCCAAGTCCACTTAGGTTGTGTATGATCATTAACACAGCTGTATCGTTTAGATAAAGTTAGTAACCGCAATGTATAGAACTATGTAGTAAACTGCCGTCTACATCTTGTCTGCTTACTGTCTGAAAGTGAATTGGGTATGTACACTTTAACAAGTGTAAATAAGCCACATTATAAATTCTATACTATGTTACATGCTGGCAAAAACTCAACATATTAGGTAACATTTGTGCAGCTCCCAAATCTACACTCTCAGCCCCTTAATTATTATCTTCTGAACTAAATTAGAACATCTGATCTGTGATAGGAATAAGGGTTAATTGTTAGTAGAACTGGTTCTGTCACTCTATCTGTGGGTTTATGTAACATTAGCTATTTTCAAATGTTCCCATCTCTGATTTCTGGGAAAAAAAGATGAATAACAGCGTATGAATAACGCCCCTTGCGCTGGGTGGGATGACAAACGAAATCGCGTATAATGGGGATGGAAGGAAGGCACGGGTGATAGGAATAAAGCTTTTTCCTTCCAACTCTCAGATCAGATTTTTAACTGTTTAGCTTCAGATAGACTAATATTAGGTATTGCTGCAAAGGCAATATTTTAGAGTCTCCAAAACTTTGTGTATGAAATTAGCAAACATTCCAATACAGAGATGTAAGTCAACTAGTGCAAAGATCACTAATAAAAAACAAGTAAAAAATAACGATTCAAAAAAACAAGAAGCATATTGCGGTAAAAATGAACTATAGCAACCACTTTAAAATAAAAAAGTTTACGGTCAAACTTGGCCTGCTTTTGCTGTTACATTGTATGTAAAAGTTATATTTTTGTGTGTATTCTTCTGCTCTCTAACAAACCTGTACATGTATCCATTGTTTCGACAGCAATAAATTTCAGGCATGTAAAAGTATATTTCAGTACTGGGTCAAGTATGTGCCTATTATTTTCTTAGTCATTCTTCACACATAAATAATGTGTTTTCTTTGTGTTCTCATTCCAATATCAAAGAATCAAATAATCTTTCCTATTACAAAACCACTCTGAGACCTGCCTCTTGTACTGTTATTTTACAAATCAGATCGTCTAACCAGCTTATCGTTTTTGTTGTATGTATTATGTAATAAAAGACCTTGAAAGCCTCAACTTTTAGCGGCTGCTCAAAGGGAATTCCTATTTGCCTTAAAATTAGACTCTAACACATCATTATAGGGCACTGAACTTTTCAAGAGAACTTTGTTGAGAACTCATTGCCGTGAAACATCTTTTTCATTATTACAGCATATATTCTGCATGTACACTGAAAGCAACTTATATAATTGCTATTGTGTATTGAAAATGAGTGCATATTTTCACAGAGCTGATACTGCTGCTGCTTATATTTTAATCAGATTTCACATTTTTAATTGAAATAATCTGTCTTTGAAGCAAAAACACTGCTAATTGTGAGTAAGTGTGAATTAGGGCACTTGAGCCTGGCGGTCCGTGTTTAGGACGGTACTTTCTAAGCAATGAGAAAACACACCACCCATCCATCTTTCATGCTGCTTTTCCAATACAAGGTCACAGTGATAAAATTAAAATATATGAAGATCTATTTAATGAACAGGGTTTAAGCACGCTAGGGTTCACAATTGTATAGCGAAAATGAAATACATTGTTAGTCAGATTCAATTTAATATATATAATCTTTGTGGAATGTTACTTGTGCTATATAACCGGAGAGAAGGTCACCTGTCGAATTTCTCAGTTCTGATCATATAGGTCTAGGTGCGGCTCAGTCATGTTGTCAGAAGAGATCCTGTGCGGCACACGGCAGGTCATCGCAGGGTTAGAGGCTCTACGGGGGGAGAACCAAAGCCTCCTCGACAGCCTACAGGAGATCCTGCAGCACCGGCCAGCCAGTGAGACCGGGAGCGTGGAACAGGAGAAGCATGGTCTTATCCAGCAGTCACTGGACAGGATTGAGCTCGGTCTGGGGGAAGCTCAGGTGAGCAATAGAGCTTATTCTAATCAGAGGTGACACTTTACCAGGAACCTGTACTTAGATACATTACTCTGCTTTACCACTATTCTTGTGATGACTGCTAGGATGTATCTGTGTCATGCTGTGTCAAAGCTGTAAGATTGAACAATATTGTTGACCAGACATGTGAAGAAAAGATGGCTGGAAACAAACCGTTGTGCTGTAGCAGACAATATCCAGTAGGTTTGTGGTGGATCATCCTCGATCTTCCAAACATTTATCCTATACTACAGTGGCAGGAAATCTTGTCCGCCAAGGGCCGGTGTGTATGCAGGTTTTGGGGGTAGCCTTTAAGTCAGCGGTTCAGTCCCAGGCGTGGGGAGTCTTCAGCCAATCGGTCGTCCATAATTAGGGAGTTGTAGCGAAAACCTACATACACACCGGCCCTTTCCAGATAAAGTTGTCTACCCTGATAAAGTACCTCCTATAATATACTGGGCCTGGAGATTCTCCAAACTGTACTTTATAGCAAACTCAACAGGTGTTTTGAGGTTACTCAGTTCATGTGATTTTGAGACTAAACGTATTTGCACCCACAGCTGATGGTGGCCCTGTCGGCACACCTCGGCTCCCTGGAGGCAGAGAAGCAGAAGCTTCGGGCTCAGGTCCGCCGGCTGTGCCAGGAGAACCAGTGGCTGCGCGATGAGCTGGCCGGCGCCCAACAGCGGCTGCAGGAGCTGGAGCAGCATGTGGTCGCCCTGGAGGAGCAGAACCAGCACCTGCAGTTCATGAGCAGCATTCGAAAATACGACCAGGACGAGTCGCCGTTGGTCAGTGTCTTGAGTCTGTATGTCGGTGGTAGCTATCTTGTCACATGACTTCCCACCCCGCAATATCTTACACCAGTGTTTCCCAATCCAGTCCTCTGGGACCCACAGCTGGTCCACGTTTTTGCTCCCTCCCTAGCAGAAATCAAGGGAGCAAAAACGTGGACCAGCTGTGGCCCCCCGAGGATTGGATTGGGAAACACTGTCTTAGACTTACTGTTTGTGTCTCTTTCCATGTGGTTCCACTCATATCTCTACAACCCCATTTCCACCCTGCAGTGTCTCTCTGCCGCTTATTTTTAATTTATACCCTAATTCTCTTGAAGGATGATAAAGAAACCGTCTCTTCTAAGGAATCCCTAGATGATCTCTTCCCTACGGATGAGGAGGAACAGTCACAGAGTAAGTTTATATAACCATAAATAGCAACATGGATCTCAATAGATATACTGTCGATGTTTCTAAATGTTTGGACATCTGTGTTACTTCCTACCTTATTGTAGTGAAACATTCTGAGAAATGCGGTGTTAGGCGATTTTGTCATTGTATGAACGTCATAGAGTATACTTACACAAACCTAGATAGTATAGTCTACTACACACCTAGGCCACATGCTATAGCCTAAATAGCGATAAAAGGTACAGTATAGTAAATAACCAGTAACATAGTTCTTGATTACCGTTATCAAGTATTATGTACTGTACACAACTGTGTGTGCTGTGCATCGGTACCACTGGCAGCGCGTTTGCTTCGTTTACATCAGCATCACCACAAACACGTAACGTGTAGTGTAACGATATTCCAATGATTACGACGTCCCTAGACGACAGAAATTTTTCAGCTCTTATAATCGTATGGGATCAATGTTGTATATGTCATCTGTCATTGACTGAAATGTTACGTGGCACATGACTGTATGTCTCAGTATTAAACATAAATTGCCATCGATGTAATATTAGTCCTGCTGTTTTTATGCTTCCAGCCCATTTTAGCAGATTAAATGTGTGTCTTTGTCCTTCTTTGTTGGTTCCAGTCTCCCGGCAGCACAGCAGCGCGGTCATGGCTGCCCAGCAAGGAGGGTATGAGATCCCCGCCCGCTTGCGTACCCTACATAACCTGGTGATCCAGTACGCTTCCCAGGGCCGGTATGAGGTGGCCGTGCCCCTGTGCAAGCAGGCTCTGGAGGACTTGGAGAAGTCCTCGGGCCATATCCACCCCGATGTGGCCACCATGCTTAACATCCTCGCCCTGGTCTACAGGTAACTCAAGAATGCCTGCTGCATGAACTACTACAGTGTAAACATGACCATGTGTCTGTGACATTAACCCACTTTTTGTAACATTGAAGGGATCAGAATAAGTATAAAGAGGCAGCCAACTTGCTGAATGATGCACTGGCCATACGGGAGAAGACCCTAGGCATAGACCACCCCGCAGTAAGAGTCCACAACCACTCTACCCACCACTGTACTCTTAAATTAAGCAGCATATTCAATCCCCCTTCCTCAGCACTCAGTCATTCAGCTGAGCTTTCACTGGGCAGTAATATAGAGCTGTTGCATGCTCTGGTAGCCATAGACATGGCTGTTCAGTGTTGATACTGTTGAACCATTAAAATACCTTGATGGTTCCAAGTCTAGAAAACTAGAACATTAAGTGCTCTGAATGTACCAGTCTTTCCACGATTTACGTTGCACAAAGCTCGGTAAATGGCATAATTCCGAAACTGGAAGGAGCCTAAGGCTACAGGCCCTGCGTCTCTGTTTAGGTGGCGGCCACCCTCAACAACCTGGCAGTTTTATACGGCAAAAGGGGCAAGTTCAAGGAGGCGGAGCCCCTGTGCAAGAGGGCACTGGAGATCAGAGAGAAAGTAAGGCAAGGGCTACTGAGCGGTTAGCGTAGCGCTCACAGTACAAAAAGGTAGAGAATGACTTAAAATAATTGTTTAATGCTTAATGAAACCGTTTGTCTGCTAGTATCATGAATTAACCTCAAATGAAACGGCCAAGCGATTTTGGTTTAGTTTGCAGTGGTGTAAATGGAGTGATTTTCCATAAGAGCTGAGCCTGTTGTCCAGGTTGCTATTGCTACATTGCTACCACAGCGCTATCTGCACACATGCATACTGTGTGCTGTGCTCTCCTCAGGTGCTGGGAATGGACCATCCAGATGTAGCCAAACAGCTAAACAACCTGGCCTTGCTGTGCCAGAACCAAGGGAAATACCAAGAGGTGGAACAGTATTACGAGCGTGCCCTGCATATCTACGAGAGTTGCTTGGGGCCAGATGACGCCAACGTGGCCAAGACCAAGAACAACCTGGTGAGAGACGGTAGAGTGGTCAAGTGAGAGTTAGATCATGTAGTGCTGAAACTGGAGGAGTTGATATACAAGAGATGTTAAAGGTAGGTGTTAGGTAGTATGGACCAGGGTTCGAGTCTCCGCTATGGCTCCATGTGTGTGGAGTTTGCTTGTTCTCCCCTTGTCATATCTTGGGGTTTCCTCTGGGTGCACCGGTTTTCCTAACAGTCCAAAAGCATGCTGAGGTTAATTGGAGTTACCAAATTGCCCATAGGCGTGAATGGTGTGTGCGTGTGTGTGTGCCCTGTGATGGGTTGGCACCCCATCCTGGGTTGTTCCCTGCTTTGTGCCCACCGTCTCTGGCATAGGCTGCAGACCCTCGCAACCCTGAATAGGACAAGCGGTTACAGAGGAAGGATGGATGGGTGGGTGGCTGTGTGTGGATGGATGGACAACAGTTGAAGAATGTTGGTAAGGAAACGAAAGTTATTATGGCCAGAACTGGATCATGAAAACAATGCCGTGTTTATATGTTTTGTTTGTCCTTTACAGGCCTCCTCTTACTTAAAGCAAGGGAAGTACAGACAAGCTGAGGCCCTTTACAAGGAGATCCTGACCCGGGCCCATGAGAAGCAGTTTGGATCAGTCGAAGGTTAAAAAACCTAAAAGATAGAATATATTCACCAAGCATTTATTGTCCACATTTTTACTCAGAAAAAAAACATCTTACTTGTGTCTATTGTTTTAGTTACAGGTTACTTTTGGCCGTTTGTGTATTTTTTGGGTATTTCTAAATTTGTTTGTATTCCTCATTTTGGAATTCTTTGAATTCGGATTAATGTGTCTCAGTTCATGATTCCCTGAAGCAGCATCGACGAATTCTGACGCTCATTTACAGTTTGGTTTTGTCAGACTGTAAGTTGCTTTGTGGGGATATTTAGGGAAGCGGGATGAAAAAAGAATAAGTTCTTGTAATGGCAGTTTTACTGGTTGTGAGGAGATACTTTCTTCTCCTAAGGGGATGGCAGCTCCATGTGGTTCAGCACAGACGAGGGAATCTGCCGACAGGTAATCTTCTATTTTAATTACGGCAGTATTTGGGGGAAGTTCTCAGCACCTTTTCCATTCTCATTCAGGACAAAGGGCTTACAGGTGAAGAGCCAACTACATGTCTTATGTGTAAAAATCCTTTATCTGTCAAACACATTTATTGTAATGCATTTCTTTTAACTCTCTTAGGCAAAGATACCATAAAGTCAACTCAGAGGCTTTTTTAGTCAACAAAGTCTTGACTAATTTCTGAAAAGCAGCTGCTATTAATGAACTCCTAGCGCTGCAGGCGGCCCGACACCTTCTGTTTCCGTCTGCAGGACGGACTGGGCAGCCTGAAGCGCAGCGGCTCCTTCACCAAACTGCGGCAGTCCATCCGGAGGAGCAGCGAGAAGCTGGTGCGCAAGCTGAAGGGAGTCGGGGCAGAGGACGCCGCTGCTCCTACTCCAGGGTAACATCAAGGAATTAAAAATCATTCCACCGATTCTTAACGCACTCTCCAGGCAGGTGAGAGGTTCAATATGGCTGTGGAGATGATATGACCCGGCAGGTCACGTGACACACTGCCGACTTCTTCCCCAGAATGAAAAGGGCCAATTCCCTTAATGTGTTGAACGTTGGCGTACGAGAGAACCAGGATGCGGCCCAGGTAAGAAGGATGATCTCACGCACACTCCTAGTGTCTGAAGACCGGCTTGTCTTTGCCTAATCCTTGCTGTTTTGTTAGCCCACGTTTTGAATGATGTGTGTATCAATCAGTACCCCCAGATGTTTAAATGTCAAATTAATCTCGGTATATCGGTTTAAGGTTTGGTCGTTATCACTCTGTTCTCAGAGTCCTAGCAGCTTGACAGACTCTCGGACCCTGAGCTCCAGCGCCCAGAGTCTGGCTCGTCGTGCATCCCTGACTGGAACCAGATAGTAGCTCACCTGGCAACCTTTGACCCGTAACTCTGGACCTGTGTTTGTGAGTGGACCGCTTCCTGCTTAAGACCCTCTTATCTCCTAAACCTTCACTTGTCCCACTGGATTATCTGTACCAAGACACAAAAGAATCCTGGTGAATGGCCCTGCTGGTCCCACAGGGGCAGCGGGATCTTGTGGGATAAGTGCAGGATTCAGCCCCATTTCACAGACAAGAAGCCAGTTGTGTGGGTAAATCTGATTGGATTATTTAACACAAATGTTATTCAGCAAGGGAAGGACTGTCTGTGGACTCGCACTGGTTGAATTTCATGTGCTACTGGTTCACTAAACCATGTGGGTCAAATAACCAAAAGAAAATAGGTTACGTCAGCACTGTTTGTAGGGCAGATTCACCAGCACTGGAAAAAGGCAGGGTCTTAACCAACCAGTTGAGTATTCTCTGGCTGTGCCTCGTTATAATTAACTGATTGGTTGAAACAAAATCTTGATCTGGATTTTTACTTCTTGGACCTGAACTTTCCACCTCTGCAAATAATTTCATTTTACTTTTTTTTGCTCAATTCAATTATGCAATCATGACTTTAAAAATATTATTATTAAGTTCAGTGGTAACTGAAAGTAAGTGTTTGTCATTTTAGGAAAAGTTTAATTCAAACTTTTTTTATATTTTACTCATATTTTGATATTTTAATTTTTTAAATTCTTGTTAAAATGACATATAAAGCACAATTAACTCTCAAGCCTACAACAATAAAAAGAAACTAGGTCCGGTTTCATAAATCAAATGCTTTTTGCTGTATTCTTGTAGCGACCTAGCAGAGAAGAAAATTAACAGACTACTTGTACAATGTTTAAAATGTTTTTGAATTTTAAAATAAATCCCTACCTTATATTTCAGTACAAACATTTCAGCGAGCTGGTTCCCTCACCACTGCACCCCTTGAAACACACTATTGCTATAAAACTGAAATGACCTGGTTAGTACTTTCACTGTGGTATTTTTAGTCGCACTGGCACTGCCTCATGTACATTAAAAATGCAGTCTCATCAAATGTGTTGTACTATTTAAAAAATGTCACAATTTTCAGAAACAAACTACATTACTAAATCAGGATACTGATCTTCAGTTGAGTGAACAAATATTGATAGTCCCCATATTTTACGAACCCCAGCTTTGTCTGATGTAATCCTGCAGGCAGCCCCGATGTCTGGTAACATTAACTTACCCAGCTTTCAAATCCACAGCCAGACAAGCCGATTAGATTACAGACCATGATTTCAGCAGCTCTGTTGTGCTGGTTAAATATGTAGCACTTCAAGGAGCAGGAATTCAGTTCCTGATAACTGATCCGAGTAGAACGTAACAGAAGAGCCATATAAGTGGGAACACGTTTCAAAATTGTAAACATACAGGTTGCAGATCTGTAAAACTTTGGTGTAAACAGTAAGGGAAAAAAGCATCTCACTGCGGCAGTGACCCCCAACTCGAACTGACGTTTTTGTCTTTAAACACTAAGTAGGTTCAGGGGACAATGACTGTTCAAGTTTTAATCAAAATGACTACATTATTTTTGACTAAACAGAAGATACTGTTATACAACATCAAGGGAACGATTCTGCTGCCATAACTGCCATCATAAGTATTGTCTGCTCATATGTCTGATTTAGACTGAAAACTTTTGTTTACTATTTAATGTTTGCAGAGTTTTGCGGATTACTTTAATATAAACAGCTTTGAGATGAAGGGATTCATTTCACTGCAGACAAAATAAGGTAGGGAAGTGGGCTTAGGAAAAAAAAAGTCTTTGTTTAGCATTTGTTACAATGTGTTTAAGGTTGGAGCTGCCATGTTTAACATGTGCAAGAACAATCTTTGAAAACTGATACAAAATTGTACTCTGATACAACTTTTTGTTCAACTAGACAAAATTCAGTGTGTATTACATAATACCCCAAATATCATATATGATTCAAATATGAATTTCCTTTGAAAAGTTCTTTTTAAAAGCCTCTATATACATTTCAGTTGCATTTGTTTCTGCTGGAATGACGTGTGCACACCATGTCCATCTAGACTTTTGCGCTTCAGTCTATGCTCTAGATGGGTCTTTCAAGCCTGATGAGCAATCTGAGCTATTTTCTGCAGCATTTCCTCTGACTGCAGCTGATCCAAAGTGAGGAGGGACAGGCCCAGTTGGTCCTCCTGCAAAGAGCAGAGATTCACTTTGTATAAATGTACTCCTGTCTCAGGAAAAAAAAAATTCTATATATACACAAATTGTGTATATATAGAATTTTTCCATTGTGTCAAAGGTCAAAGCAAATACATCATAAGTGTCAGAAAGCTTGAAATGTCAATTGAGCAGATTATCATATTGCCAGTGAAGTCAATGTTGAAAGCAGACAGGAAGGGTTTGATAACGGAAATAAGCAGAGACCTACTTTTAATTCACAAGACTATCAGAATTAGAAGTTCTTTCCCTTGAGGAAGGACACCTGGCCCAGTCTGTAAGATGTCAATATTCTGTGGTGGCAGTAGGACAGAAATTAAGCCGCATACCCTTCGAAAAGGCTGGGCCATCTGGCGCAGGAAGTGTTTGGACAGTTGAATGGTCTCATCGATAGTCAGGTTCAGACTGCCGTCGGAGATGTGCTCCTGAATCCAGCGGGGCAGCTTGCCTCGCTTGTCTGCACGAGCGTAGCGCTGGAGGAAGGAAAGATGGATGCAATGATTGGGGGGGGGGGGGTTGTGCTTGCAGTGAACCATGGTATATCCCAGGATACATAAAGTGTAAGTAAGTCAGGATACAACTTGGAAAGACTGTTAGTAAACTGCACCAACCTGCGTTCCCTAACACAATCACTGTATTAGTAAATGTTCAGACATGCATTCACTTACACTGCATGGCTTTAGGGCTGCCACAGGATACAACCTAATGTTAAGCAAAACTTTTATGATACAAACTTTTTTTTGTCTCTCACGCGATGGAGATGGAGAGATGGAGATTTCAGGTCCAGAGAGTACAAATCCATGCCAGTTGAATATAAAGAGTCAGTCACAGAGTACTCAACTGGTTGGTTGAAACAAAGTCTTGGTCTGGATTTGTACTCCCTGCACCTGAAATCTCCACCACTTCCACCCACACGTGTAAGCAAATTCTTTTACAAGTTGGTCTAATGGTCTAATGCTAAACACTGTACACATACTGACCTTGTCAGCGAAGATCATCAAGCCGTAGTCAGTTTTGCCCCGGATGGCCCTGCCCACACACTGCGCCGCATGTCTCATGGCGTCAAAAGTCAAGAAGTCATTCTCCCGGATTTGGAACTGATCCCTCAGGTACTCCAGGCGTGCCTGACGTTAAAAAAAAAAAAAAAGCGTAACGAGCAATTGAAGCATCTGTAGTACCGGAGGATTCAATATTTTGAAAATATACATTCATGACTTCTTTAGCAATTTCAGGGTATTACCAACTTGGTAGCATAATGACTTGGAAGTACACTGAAATATGGTGGGAGAAAGGGTAAGGATGGATAATCCTGGACCCTGTGATGCAGTGACACCATATCCTGGATGTCCCTTGTCTGGTCCTCAGTACAAATTCAGTGTAACACTGTACTGGAAAAGTAGGTTTTCCTAAACACACTGAAACAGACCTTGAGGATCCGGCTCTGCGTGTAGACGTACGGTACACCAAACATGATCACTGCACGTCCATAGTGATGCACTGGGGGGGGGGGAGAGAGAGAAGGATGATGAAATACTTTATCGTCCATTTATGGAAACATTTAAACCATAAAAGGCTAGGAAGAGGAGCCAGCAAAATTAGGCACTACGCTGGTAATGTTGTTGCCGATGTCGTCGTCCAAGTTCCCTCACCGAAATCGATTCCTTCCGACACCTTTCCTCTTGCCACTGACAGCAGAATCGCACCTCTGCCGTTCTCACAGGCCTGCAGGGATACATCCTCAAATCAGTACAGAAGCCAGCATACCCTCCAGGCCTCTGCCAAACACACAATGTGCAGTTTCTCCCACCAATCAGCGTTATGAACTACAGGTCAGCGAGTACGCTTGTGTTGTCTGAACCACAATAATGATAAATGTTTTCCCGAAAGGTCTCTGCTGCCCGTAGCTGCACTGACCTCCTGATACTTCTCCAGGGCCATACTGGTTTCAGCTGCATCAGGTGTCTCAATAAAGATCAGCTTGTTCCTCTGGATATTCTCCAGGATTCCCTGGAATCAGAAGGCTGAGCATTAAATCAAGGAGTCTTGATGTGGTATTGCAGTAACTGAAATGCAATACTATTCCTCACGATATGGACATCTAAAATTGTGTAAACAAGTTTGGTACCAATTTTGATTAACTATAGTTAATTATGTTGCAATGAAAAACTTCTGGACAGACTATTCATGAAACAAATCACAGACAGAATGATGAGTTGATTAACTCATGTTTCATCACGCATTTAGGCACCTTTGGTGACAGACCATGCCCAACTATGTACAAAATGTAAATACAGATTAATTTACATTTATTTCATAGACACTTTTGTATAAGTGAAGAAAATAGCACATTTCAAACATACAGCTGTTAAGGAGTCAAATAGTCTCCAATGAATGACCAGTTACAAGTATTTACAGGTTATACAACACTTTTTAAATGTAGCAAAATAAGACAACTATTTCAATCAAAAGACAAAGAGCATTCAGGGAACACAGAGTAGCTAGTACAGCTGTTCCCAGAACAGATTGGTGTTGAGGCATTTATTGAAGGTTGAGAAGGACTGGATGTGGTTAGGCATCTCATTCATAAATATGAATTCCTATTGATCAAGTAAATCCACTCTGTTCGATCGCATACAGATTGATTTCAACAGAACTATGGTTCTTAAGTTCTCTGTATTTTATGAAATACATACCTGCTCATACCAAGATGCCACAATATTCTCCATGTATACATAACTGGTAAAGAAGGCGACAATGCCGTCGGGCACAATGGCTGACAGTTCCAGCAGCAAATTCCCATAGTTACGTATGACAGCTGAAAGACAGGCAGAATGCAGTAGTTCCTATACTTACAAAAAAAATCTTTTGTCGATTTCAGGTACTGTTTCCCACACAACTCCTTACAAGTAGACAATAAAGTCAAAAAATTTTAAAGAAAATAACTTTAAAAAAATGATTTTTCAAACAGATCAATAACTCTTACCAAAATCTTCTCGCGTCTCAAATTTTGAGCTGATGGCCACTTGGTCATTTCCTCTCCCTACAATCTAGAAGAATCCATCAGTTAAACAAGCTCTAATCTGATGCTGCATACTCTCATACTCCATACTCTCATACTCCATACTCTCATACTCTCGTTCGTGCATGTTTACCACTATGTCGATGAAATCTCACCAATGGGCAAAGACAGGTGCGAGCCAGCGTCATGGTGAAGGAAGCCGTGGTAACCGGTCGGAAGTCAAGGATACGAGGGTAAATATCCAATGGAGAAAGAGTCTGAGTTGAGAAACATCCACAAAGAGTGTTTGAAAATGACTGTCCGCTTAAACACATTATTATTTAAAACAACAGGAACATATTCATACCCACACTTTGAGCCCAAAGGCAGGACCTTACCCCTGATGTGATGATAACAGACTGGAATCGTTCGAACACTGGCTTGATGGCAATAGAGGGGTCCATGCAGCTTAGAATATGAAGATACAGAATTCCTTTAGCTTGAAACAGCACCACTAAATCATGACTGCACTTCTAACTTCACATGTTCTAAAAGAATCTATATTAATCTCAAACAAGGATCGCTATTGATAAAAAGAAACAGCAGACTTCCTACAGTCAAATCAAGAGATTCATGGAATGCTTTTCTCCTACACCAATTTGCCATCCAACATACAAGTTCCATGATATTTTGAATGTATACATGCACTAAATTACCATATGTTACAGACATTTTCTATTTAGTTATTATTTTGTTTTGGTTATTTGCATTGTTTCTATGCAGTTTTCTGCAGCTTCAGGGAAGCTTAAAAACCCATGTTCTTGTAGTTGAGTAATAAATCAAAGTTTTTTTGTTTTTTTTTTAAGGGGGGGGGTTATAAGGGTAAAGCAACCTTATACTGCCATAATCTGAACACAGACATTTATTATATGGTCCCTGTTCTTGTTCCAGCTCCTGACTCGTGTTACTATGTTCATGATTGGGGGATGTGTCTTGATATGTACCCAACAAAACTATTAAACAGTGGGATATAACATCCAAAGCAGCATTCTTAGACTCTCCATTACGTTAATGCAGAATAATGACGTTTCCACAATGTCTTATTCACCAAAGGTCCCACAACATTAACTGTGACAGAGTTCGATAGAGAGCTTAATAATAATGCAGCAAAAATAAATCTGATATTCACTGTATGACACTATGTACACTCCTGGACAGAAAATGGGCCAAACCCAAAACTGCAAAACAAAAAGCTTTTAATTAATGGTGTCAACAGCAAATAGCCAGAAACCACTTTTTGGAAAATTCTCAACACCCAGGCATCTGTTTGAAATTTAAAAACATTTACACTCTTTCATGATGTTATCTTTGCGAGCAAGACGGATACGTGAATTTCTTTCGCTCCAGCTTTCCCCCCCCCCCAAAAGTTCACTGCAGCAGTGAGCAGTGACGAACAAACAGTTGCAAAGGTCTCAGGAATGCACGCCTTTAGTTCTTGCTACTTATCTGACCAATTATTTGTTATGACCATTAAAAGCTTAATATTTAGCAATTTTGGGTTTGGCCGATTTTTTAAACCCAAATCTGTAAGCTCCTTTAGATGCAAGTATGCCAGAAATGAATGGTATGAACTGTTAAATACAAGGAATCAATAAAATGTGTCAATACAGTACTGCCTTCAGTGTGAATGTTAAAATCCCAGACACGCCGACGACGGATTATGGGTAGATTAGGATAATCGTACCTGAAGTGCAGAACAGGATTAGCAATGGTGGGCGTCTTGTCTTCAAACGGCTCTATGATGATGGTGAAGCCTGAAATAACCAAATAATTGCTGCAGGTACATTTGTTTACCCTCAAAACCAGTGAAAATGTGCAGAGGATCAGGTCAGTGCCACCCGTGAAGGGCAGGATCGCTACCTTTGCTGTATGTGCTGACCAGCGTCGCGAAGTTCGAGATGAGAGTGATGCCGGAAAAATCTGTGATATCGGCGATCTCAAGGGTACGCAGTAACATGCGCAGTCTCTCAGCGCAGAACCTGGAGGTGCAACAGGGTTATGAAGAAATGCACTAAAACTTCACACACAGCTTCAGCCATCCTATCTCCAACAACTAAACAATGCAGATACATTTAACAGGAGGTAAAATGCTACAAAATAATACGATCGCAGTTAATCCTAATGGATCAGAACTGTGGAAAAAATCCTCCAAGTAATCTGAATTATTAAATCATACTTGCTGTTACTGTCATTACAAAGTAGAAGCCGACATGGCATCCTGCTACACATGATCCATATCACTTTCATACTAAATATTTGCTGTATTTCCTGGCATAAAATGGACATTGTTACACAGAACTGTTGTCTGCACAAGGGCTGAATTTTGATATGGAGGGTGGATTGTAACACTCTTACCGGAGTGGCTTGCGGTCGATGCAGACCTTCTCGAAAATGTCCTTGAGAAACTGTGGAGAGCTCTCCTGCACCACATGCTGGATTCGAAGCCGGGATTTCAGGTATTCCAGAAAGCGCTTCATGAAGCCCACAAAGTGTTCTGCTGTCCGGATGCTGCCTGGGATGGCTTCTGTATTTCGACAAAAGCAGCAGCCATCTCAGATGACTGTGACTCGTCTAGACATACAAAGCTCTATGGAGGCGCAGAGACTCCCTTCAGCACTAAGAGCTCTGTAACCCCAGCCTGCCCATTCCAGCCATTGACTTTAGTGCTAATAACTTTTTGCATTTTGGTAGCTTCAGTAAAATGTTTCCCAATGTTCTGTATTAGTTCAGGAGCAGTAGCTTGAAATATATGAACAATATAAAGCAGATGTTTAAGACAAAGGACTGGCCTTTAATAAATATGATGAAAATATATTTGCAGTGATATATAGCGTAAATTTTACACAATAATAATGATAAATATAATTTAAAAACCTTGTAGAATTTCATCAGGTAACACAGGATTCGAGAGATAAATATCCGTTTCACGGGCAACATTGGCTTCCTTCAACCCTTCCACCAATCTCCTGTATTCCTCTTTTAATTTTGCAGCATCAGTCTCCTTTATTCTACGATGAGGAAAAAGCAAAGACAATCATCAGTTCCTTTCACATGTTGTTCACAAATTCGTGACGTTTGTAGCCAAAGCCAGCGGCAGAGAATGGGAACTGATCATGTGACTCATTTTCATACTTCTGAATGGTGGTTTGCAAGGTCTCCACATTGGCTTGGCTGCGGTCGATGATCCTCCTGGTGATGTTGACGCTCATGGAGTCGATGCAGACGTTATCTGCGGGTGAAAGCGGAGGGTTACAGGTTGCATCGTGAAACGGTCCGCGGATCCAGAAAGAGAACAAAACATGACGCGGAACTTTCTTACCAATGTTGTGCGCCTCATCAAAAACCACAACTGATTTCTTGGCAAGTTCTTTGGATACAAGATCAGCAATCTTCGGATCCAGAAGGTAGTGATAGCTGTAAACTACAATATTAGCATGGATGATCTGTTTATAAGAAAAGAAAAAAATAACGCAAGTTACTTATCAACCTAATCAATACATTATTGTTGTTTGAATGATTCAAATTAGGTTAATATAAAGACTATTCTACCTGAAGCAGCGTTTTTACTCACTTATACAGCTGCACAATTTTCTACAGCAGTCCAGCTTAAACACTACAGCGAGGCCCAGAAAGAATCTAAACCATTAAACTGCAGCTCACAAGTTCAGGTTCATAAGCACAACATTGCGAGATTCAGTAACACAGATAATATGTCACACTGTTTTTGCTGAAGTAATTTTAATATGCAAGTTGTTTTGCCGAGTGCGGAGCTTACACGTGACATTTTTAAAAGCAAAATGATGAGTGCAATAATATATATCACTATTTCTGAGGATAATAATTATGTTCTGGGCTTAGGTATTGCCCCTTGTGAAAGGCAATAGCAGTTATAATCTATAGAGTATTGTGCTATACTATACCACCAGCATCACTACCACACCACAAAGAAGTCTACACACCAGAACTGCAGACTTTAGATATATTAGACTGCATAGGATTTGTAAACGACGAGGTAAAAATGCTTACAGAATATCGGGCAAGGTAGTATGGGCACCAGCCTTTCCGGCGGCCAAATTCCTTCAGATCATCCAAGTTATAGATGCCAGCGGGAAGTGGAACCTGTCTGCCAATAGCATCAAACTCCTGCCAGGGTTCAGGGACCGAGGAGAAGCAAAACAAAGACACGTCAAAAACACATAGACAGAACTAGAGTATAACCCAGACTAGACTTTTCGACATTCGTAAAAAGTGAAAATATACATATTGACTGCAATGTAATAATGCAATGAAGGTTGACAGCAGTGTTTCTCAAACCAGTCCTCAGGGACCCACAGACGGTCCATGTTTTTGCTCAGCTCTATAGAAGGAGCAAAAATGTGGGCTGTCTGGCAGGGAGCTGGGAGGGAGCAAAAACATGGACCGTCTGTGGGTCCCTGAGGATCGGATTGGGAATCACTGCTTTAGAGCGCATCTCCCTGTGTGCAGTTTACCTCATAGAAGTGGCACACAGACAGGCTGGGGTTGCTCTGTCGCTGTGAGCGTATGTACGACGCCGTCAGGCTATGGCACTTCCCGTCCACCTCTTTTCCGAAGCGTAGGGAGCTCACCTAAAACAAATGATACACCCCAGGGTCAGGGTCCCCCTACACAGCTCAATTCTGAAATCTTACGAGATTTTCAAAGGAAATGACCACAAAGAGGACTGTCCAGTCTGACTCCAAAGGGGCTTTAAGCCACATCCTACCAAGAAGCCAGCCTTACCTCAGGGTGCACGCACAGATTTTTGCGCGATGAAAGAGCCAAGGCAAGAAAATGACTGTTTTCCCCAGTCTCTTTGGCATAAAATTCCATCAACTTCCTCAGTTCCTCCACAACCTATCAAAGAGGAAACACAGGTGAAGACGAACGCTATGATGATGAATGTAATGACTGTTTGTTCATTCAAAGAGGCTCAAGGTGATCCATGGACCATATGTCTTTGAATTGCAGGATTAAACTGGGATACCTGGAGGAAACTCATGCAAACTCTGGTACAACAAATTTCTCTCCAAAAAAATGAATGGCTTTGATAGCCTGACTGTGCGGGTACTGACCTTCTCTATCTCAGGCACAGTTCGAGAACAGTATATCAGTTTAGTGACCTCCAGGGGGTAAGTCTGTGTGCAGCGGGAAGAGGTTGTACATTAGGTGATATTAATTTTTTATTATTAAGGAATTCAGTTTTGGACAGCAGAAACTGTAGCATTTTCAAAATCATTAAGCACATCAGACTTCTATTTTTAGGGTAAACGGTAGGGTATATAGTGACTTGTTAGAAAAACAAACAGACTATATCTCAATTACAAAGATTTAAGGAATGCAAAAAAAGTATATGCAACACCCACTCGTTGATAAGCGACTATCAATGAAAGGAGTGAGATGGTTTTTCCTGTCCCGGAAGGCATTTCCAGAACTCCGTGTCCCTACGACAGTTTAAAAAGAAAACAGTACTGTAAAGAAACCTTTACTGAATGCCCAGTATGCACGTGTCTTGCAAATTAGGTGTAGGTGCTGTTGCATACCTTAGCATCAAGCGTCCTCTTCAGCTCCAGCATATAGGAGTATTGCTCAGGGTAAATGTAATCATACGGGAAATAGACCAGGAGACCTTCGATGTTCAACCTGAGAAAAGCAGCAGTGCTTACAAATTCACACATTATACTTCATCCAAGACGACTCTTATTTTGATATGCATATTAGGTTTGCTCGATAAACTTCAACTTTAAAATATCTGATGAGAAAAATATCTCACAATCTTTTGTCACAAGACAATTTGCCAGCTGCGTAGCTATCTTGATCAATTAAATACGACTAAAATAATAAGTTGTAAAATGCATAACGGCAATGGATTATCATTTCGAGTACTTTGCATTCTCGCTAGCAGAGTACCTACTTCATTTTGCTGGTATCACTCACGCTCTGCTCAGATTCCTGTATACAGTGTGCTTTAGCTCAGTGATTCACATTAAAAAAAGAGAGAGTTGATCATTATATCCAGAATTATTTACATATTCTATTCGGAATTTCTGGAACTATACCATACTCTGTTATGTCACATCTAAGCATGCTAAGCATACTCTCCATTATTGTCCCTCCCTCCTCTAATTTGATTGGTTTATTTAATAGTAGAGCTATATTTGGACGCTTCTGTATGGCTAGAGTATATGTCAGTCCGTAAAAGTGCGACGGAAGTACAACCCTGTTTAGTTCTGAGCCAGACCTAAATAATCAAGTTCTGAATGGCTCTTGATGTAGTTTAGTTTGTGTAGTGAAATTATGAAATGAGGATGGTAAGTGATTTTAACAATTCATGTTTTCTTTGTATAGACTGCCATTATTTTTAATGGGTTTTATGTGTTGGGTGGTTTTAAGATTTGCTCTGGCAGGTCGACAAGCAGAGCCACATGACACTTAGATGGATATAAGAAAGAGGGATTTTCTTGTGTGTAACAAAGCAGGAGCTGAAAAAGACGGTAAACGGTGAGCAATACAGGTAATGCGAAAAGGGCATAGGCATAGGAACCGGGGGCATTTAAAATTAAAGTTGTGCCCCCACCCCCCCCCCAATATCAAACTCACTCCTGCCAGTCATTGTAAAAAGTATGTAAACCTCTAGGAAAATAAATTTTAAAAAGTGGGATATTGGAGCCAGCTGACCCTTTTCAATAGAGTTCTATCAAATGCATTTGTGAATATTTGGGCTTCCGTCAATCTCCAGTCAGAGAGACAAAAGCAAGAAATTCAATACTGGCTCTGAGTAACACTATTGTCGGCGGCTCTATTTACCACCACTCAAATCACGCATTTGCATGGTGCCCCCTGTTGGCCACAAACACTCACTACACCAAGTATTAAATAAATGCGTTTCTTATTTAGTAGATGCTGAAGCAGCATGTTCTGGTAACCAGCTAGCTATCTTCTGACTGTACCCGCTAACTATTTGGTTTTTTAGACATCAGGGGCAGAGGGGTAGCTCTGGATTGGTCTGCTGTGGCCCCTGCCTTTGACTGCCACCTGATCCACATGGCATCCACACCCCCACGGCAGGGGGTCTGACCACAGAAGGGGGCACACATGTAGCTCCTTCAGAATAGATGCCTGTCCACCATGTGCTTGCTGACGAGGCCCCCCTGCCCCCCAGTCCTGTCTCCAGGGCAGGGCCCCTCGTTCCCTATTGTAGATGTAGATGTTGTTTTTCTTCATCGGGGTTGTTTGAATCACACTTAAGTCTGGCTGCTCACCTAGGACCAATTTGCCTTGGGAGACCCTGCCTGGGGCAGCTGCCCCCAACAACGTAGCTCCTAGGATCATAGAGGCACACAAACCCCTCCTCCAGGGTGTGTGTGTGTGTTCATACTCGCATGCATGTGTGTGTGTGTGTGTGTGCTTTTGAATATATTACATTGTGGGGACCATTTTTTTGGTCCCTACAAGGGAAAACTCAATTTTCTATAAAAAAAATTGCTGGGTATAGGGTTTTCCCAGTCTCCAAAAGATATGAATACAAACGTGTCTGTCTGTCTGTCTGTCTGTCTGTGTCTGTCTGTCTGTAGGTGGAAGAAGGATCTGCATGTTCTCCCCATGTTTGTATGGGTTTCATCCATAGTCTACAAACATGATTATCTGAACTGTTCTCTTTTGGACTGATGTGACATTCAGGGGGCTCCCTCTCCCTGCTCTGCTTTCTGGGATTGGCTCCAGTCTCACCCTGACATTGTGCTGGAAAAGTGTTTATGGAATCTAGATGAATAGATCACACTGCAGTAATACAATTAAAAGGACATCAAGGAAAAAAACACCACAGTACAGGAAAAGAGCACATTGTTTTGATTTCTATTTTTATTTAAAATACAAAATGAGAATACGATAGGGTAAGATTTATAACAATAAAGCCAACAATTTGAATTTTATAACCAAATGTGAATTTCAGCAAAAATATAGTCTACAGCAACAAATGCAGAAAATATCTACATTTCCAGCCTTTTCCATTATATTCACTTTCAAAAATATTTCATTCATTTTCTTTAAGTAAGAATTACTGTATCTTTCCCCAGCTGCCACTCTATGGTCAAAGGCTCTCATCTCAAAATGAAGTATGTTGAACTTTTTTTGTACCCCTATACATCCATAAAAAGGATTTTTGCTCTCTTTAATTCACTTCATCCTCTTCTTCCCTGGACATTGATGATGTAATAAACTCCTCACAACAATCCAGTATAGTATTACAACAACATGATAATATCTCGCTAAACATCAATAAACATTGATAAGTCAAAATGTTATTAATTTTGATGAGCTTACTTTGTAGCATGTACTTTACATTTTGGAAATAATGTATATTATTACATTGTACTGATTTTACAAAAATATACGCAACATTATTTTAAATTATGTTTTTTAAAGACCTTGAGTTAACAATAGCACAGTTTTGTCTGTTTTGTCATCATTAAAATAGCAAAACATGAGTGTTGTTCATTCCGTTTCTTCACAACAAAAATGATGATTATAATTTGTAATGTTATAAATTGCTTGTTGACTTTCCTACTCCAGTAAAAAATTAGTACAGCTTTAGTTTAGCTGTTTTATCATTCTCTCTTTTCTCCTTAATAAGACAACAGACATAATGAGGAGGATAGGCAATATCTGGAAACCTCACTGCAGTCCGACCTGCTCCATCTCACAGCTCATAAGCATCCTCCATGGTCTTATAGCGGTCCATGATTTTTAGCACATCTTCCAGGATGGAGGGACCTAGGTCTATATCGAGGCCAAGAAGCGAGTCCGAGTTGGGTAAACCTGGTGACTCGCTACGCTCGCTATGCAGATCTTCATTGCTCAGCCCAGCATCAGAGTCTAGGCTGAGTCCACGATGGGGGTCCAACGGCAGGCCACCATCAGGCATGGAGTCCTCAGAAGAAGCCTCCGAGAAGGATTCTGAGGATGGTACTAGATGCCTGAAAGCAGGGTTGGCGACAGAGTAGCTGAAGTCATGACAGAAATCTCCATAGCAGCCTCCTCGATGAACATGCTCATCGCTGACGGACATTGAGCGCTGCTGTGGCTGCTGCTGCTTTTGCTGAGTATGGGGTGGGTTCTCCTCTAAGTGTAGACGAGGTGGTTTTGGGGGGGCTTGCTCAGGGGCCACAAAAACTGGCATGGAAATGGTGCTCTTCAGAATGGTCATGTTGGGGTGAGAATGGCAGTGAGGGTACTGCAAATCCTTAGCATCCACAGGGAAAGTCTCATCCAACTGGCAGTCGCCGTCGGACCGGCTTAGCGATGGAAGTATGTCTAGCTTGCCTTGCAAGAAGCCAATATCCCCAAACATATCTCCCTCACCATCACGACCTACGTGGGCACTGTGACGTAAATCACCCAGCGGGGGGCTAATCATGTCACTGGAAAGGACATCTCGCAACTTCAGCTTCTTGCCCCGTTTTGGAGTGGAAGTCTTCAGGTACATTGGCATCTTGGCTGGCATTTTGTTACCCAGAATTCAGTGATGAAGCTAATAGCGTCTAAAAGAGTTCTCTGCTTTAGGGAGGGGCTTAAGAGGAACGTGGGGCTAAACCAATCATCGGTCTGGCTTTAAGCTCCTCCCTCATAAAAACAAAGATGGGAATGAAAGGAGAATGATGCGGACAGACTATGTGCCTGTTTCCTTTAAAATATGTTACCAGCAATTATTTTTTTTTTGCCATCAGATTGTCAGGGATGTTCTTGAGAATACCATGACCTTCAGAAGCAACCTTCTCCATGAAGTGATTAGTCGGCTCCCTAACCAGTAGAAAAAGGCTTCCCTTAGGTATGGCCACTTTAGTGTATGCAGCACTCCTTGATTGAAGAAGGTGATCGAAGCAACTTAATGTCAGAAAACTCGTTACAGAGCCCTGCAGAAAGAATAATGGAAAAAATAAGATACAAAAAACTGAGGTTAGATTAAGTCTCCTGGAATACTCCACTACTCTACACTTTTCATCAGTGGTTCATCGTGCATTCTAAATGCCCCACCAGCAAAATGTCCAATCTTATATGTAATCATTTAAAAAGTAGGAAAATTGCAAGTGCTAATACAAATTCCCTACTTCCTTCTTTCGCAGAAATGTTCTATAAAAGGATGTTTGCCATGACGAATCTAAAGTGGTCTTTTAAAGTTATGACTTAATATAAGTCAATCATTCGCTTTAATATCATGATCCGATGCTGTTTCCAAATAGCTGGAGGCTGGAGATAACAATGGTACAATGACTGTCCGCTTCCTGATTATAATGGACTGTGGTTTAAAATTAGGGCGACATCCTCTGCCTGTAATTTTACATTTTTACCATTTATTGAGTTTATAAGAGACTTCCCTTATGTATGGTGACATGCATTTTCAAAAGTGATATTTGTTCCTTCTGCCTTATTCCACACTATAGCATTAAAGCTTCTGTGCTGTGTGTCTGAAACACACTTTTAACTCCACATTTCCAGAAAATGTGATTTTATTAAAAATCACAAATTTTTTAAACCTTAGTAACCTAATTTGACTTGAATCTGTGTTATTTAATTTTGCATCATATGTTTAATCCCAAAAAGTGAATTCCCTGTATAGTATCCTAAAAAAAAAAGTTGGGAGGGGGGGGTGTTTTTATGCTTTCGCTTAAACAGAAATTAAGTTAAGTAGTAGTTAATTTCTCAGTATCTTTTCCTCACACTAAGGTCTTCCCCATGGCTCTGATATCTGAACGCACTCTTCATGTGGACTTAAAACAAGGGACCGTAACAGTCCTCGCGCCGGATACGGCTCTAATCCTCTCTCACTCCCTGCTCTTACTCACCCAGGGCCTATTTATGGAAGTAGTCTGACGTACCAATGGCGTCACTTAGAACATTAAATTAGACTCTTACTTTCAACATTTTTCCGCCTCACAGATATTTATCATTATACTTCACAAACCAAAAAAAAAGTTATTTAGTAGACTAGTTAATATACGTTAATATTAATATTAACAAATCATAAAGAAAGCTCTTTTGAAGATAAAAACACACAAGACGACCTGAGCTGTTCTGTCAGCCAGAAAATGTGTAGAAACTGTACATCATTAGTTTAATTTTCAAATTATGTTGACCTGAAACGTGCATATTTCACTTCCTATTTGTGATGCTGTGTTAATGAGCTTTACAAAAAATAAATCTGGATGCTGACCACAGCCTTACTGAGGCTTGAACTTCTGTGTCCCTTGATTTTGCAAGAAATCCCTTATGTAAGAGTTAAACTGAGATCATCCCGAACACAATCATTCCGAAAAAACCCAAAACTAATCCATCGACACACCAATTCAGTTTGAGATTCACACCAATGTAACCTACTTTCAAGCAACGTACACATCTGTGTTTATAAGTTTAAACACATTTCATCTTATGCGCTACCTAAGCAATGTGTTCGTCTAGTTTAATTACATTGCTGTATATAAGAGTTAATATAAGATTACAATTTGCCTTGAAATGTATTCAAAATAATCAAAATAGGTAATGTTCTCCACGCAATTAAAAATAACTTTTTGGTTATTCAAACTGATTGTTGATTTTTACACCTTCCTTTTTCATATGCCCACTAAAACACATTCAATGTGTGACTGTACAAATTATACATTTCATTTAAGTTAATTTCCCCTTTTAAACAGTAGAGGTCAATAACCAATCGTAGCACCATAAGGCGCTATATTAAAAGCAGATTAAGCAGCAATGAAACAAACAACTTGCGCACAATAAAAGGCTTACAGCATTATGATGTTAGAAAAACCAAAAACAGAAACTTCGTAGCTACTCACCTTAATTGTACAATAGAGAACTACGGTATTTTAAGGAATTAACGCGAGACTGCGCGCTCCTTGTGAACGCAGTGCCCTCCCGACATTTGCTAGTAACAGTGAAGTAAATCTAAAGTAAACCTCTTAGCAGCTTCAGGAGCCGATGAGACGCTCGACTGAAACTGGAGAGGAGGCTGGGTTGAGGGAGTGGGTGTGATATGATGGTCCTGGATGGAAGGAGGGGGGTGCAGAAAAGTCACAGGCGTTTCTCAAATAACCACTTTTTCTTGTGCTGTGTCTTTATTTCTTACTGAGGTGTGTACAAAATCAAGATATAAATGATTTTGTTTCTATCACGTACGTCAGTTATTGTGAAATTAACGTCAAATCGATCCTTTATTTTATTTTGCATTAGGCTACTACGCTTCATCTTCTTTTTTTGAACCACGAGAGCCATTTCTTTCAATTTCTTATTCTAACTGTTGCAGAAAGTATCCATAGTCCTAATAGTTTAATATAGACAGAGGTTAATAATTATAATAACTATCCGCCAAAAATACTATTTAACAATTACGCCTCACTGTCTGAAAATATCACATCGTGTAATTTTATTTCGTTAATAGAAAATGGCGTGTGTGATTGTAAAAGTCTCATTACCTCACCTAAAAACGCAATAATTTGCATTTTACGATTGTGCTGCCTGTAAAAACGACAAAAACAAGAAAGGCGTAGTCACTGTCAAGAGGATGCTAAAGTCATTTTCACGTCGGCCAGAACAAATGGGCAACTCCCTGTGGCAATTAATCTAATTAGAGACTGCTTACTCGTGGCTTGGTAAATCACTTTGCTTTTCTGCTTTGCTGATACAACAGCTTCTAACAAGTCTGCCTAACAAGTAGGCTGCCTCTCATATTTAACCTTTTTATGTCACTTTATAATTTTCGTTTACAACTAGGAAACTCTATTATTGTAAATTTATATTAGAATTTTACAAAGTGGGTATGAGAAACCATTAATTACAAAACATTGTGCAGATGAGCAAACCAACTAATAAATATTCCTAACAGAAACTGAGCCATTTTCTCACACACATAATGACTCCAAACAATTATTTACACGTTCAGCTAGGCTTAGACCTGTCAAGGTTTTACTGGAGTAATAAATTCCGGTTAGGCCTACATCTAATTAAAACCAGAAATGAACTTTAACACAAAAACATTAGGCCTATATATTGTCTTGTTTGTTTTTTTCGATTTACACATGCTATGTACAATTTTAGTTCGCCTGAAGATTCATATGTAACTTAACATGTTATTTCATACAATGAGTTTGGGGGGGGTGGGTGTGATATGACATTGGAAAGGTGTGTGTATCTAAGCATGTTCTATAATAGTCAGAAAGAATGAGTCATTCTATTGTTTCCGCTCATTGATTTATTCGTTTTAGCAGTTTTCTCCAGGGGGTTGAGCCCCCTAGCGTCAAATCCTAGAATAGCCACTGGTGCCTGCTCTGAAAAAAATCCCGGACTCACATGCCTTGTTATTTAATTGTTCTGACAAAACGTCCTACTTTATCAAAACATCATACCGTAGTGCTAATCGATAGCCCTAACCCTAACTCTTACCCTAACCCATAACCCGAACCCCCCCAAAAACCACTAACCCTAACCCTCTATAACCTAACCCTAATCCCAAGGCGGTGGAACTGCACATGCGCAGAAAGGCTCGATAGCACGTCTCGATAGGTAGGATGTTTTGTCAGAACACCGGTCTGCCTGTTTGTCTGCTTAATCAATACGCACGTTTAGGAATCACTGCTGTCACACTCCAGCGTAACACCTGGAGGGAGCAGCCTGGGGTTCCAGCAACTGTGGATGATGGTGTAGAACTGTTTCTTATTTCTTGGATATTAGCTTCAAAGCTGATCTAGGAATAATTAATATTCGATATTGTTTTGAAAAGAATGGGGAGTCCAATTAAATTAGGTGACCATGGTCTGCAATTGTGCATTTGCCCACAGTGACAGAAGGCAGTGACACTGCACTGCATGGTCCTTCTCCACACAGCCCAGTTTGTAATAACGAACGCACGCACTACTTAGTGACACTCGTGAAAACATTGTGTGGCTTCCGCAGTTTTTCGGCTTGAGGTACAGTACAGTAGATATGTAATACATGTACTAAGAAAAACATTGACTGACACTAAATAAGACCCCTATGAACCTGTTCCGACTTATCTACAGACTGGATTTAAAGACAAACTTAAGGAATGGGTCTCATTCATAACCAGAGGACTTCCTGTAATAACTATAAGATATACATGCAGTCTTTAGGATAGCTGCTTTGAAAACAGATATGATAAACAATGAATAGTCAGGTTAGTACAGTACAAAATGTTGACAAATGGAGCACATCCGTTTCCAATGGTATAACAAAGGGTGATACAACGAAAGGGGAAATGGAACAGGAGTCCAAGGGATGACCTGGGAGGAAGGATACGGTAAATGTTTCAGCCCACTCTTCCCAAAAACACACAGGCGGCAGGCTACGGGACTCCATCGCCTGGCGTGCTTATCTGCCGATGGCGCCATGATGGAACACTACGTATTCCTGACCACTTCCTGTTCTAACCTCCCCTCGATCTTTTAGCAAGTGTTTTGTGAAGTGGGTGCGTCACATATAACAATAAAATACAATAGGTAATCACACTCACCATGCATTTGTTTACTTAGTAGTCATTTTATGTAAAAAGACATACACTGGATTAAAGCTTGGCTTCAGGAACGAGGCCCAGTGAGCCCCCCCTAGAGCAGCCAACCAATGATACGAACCCATGACTTTCTGACCATGCGCACAGATCTCAAATCCACTGACCTTATTAGTACTTATTAATTGCCATTGAATCGCTTTGTGGATTTATTTACCTTTAGCATCCACTAGTGGAAAGATGGAGAAAATATGAATAGGCCCACTGTATTTTTAAGTGATACAAAAAATAGTAATTATAGCAGATTACTTATACTAATTTTCTGTACAGATTATTGTTCTGTCTAATATATGTACTTATGAATAGTAGAAATGTAGAAATATAGTAAGGTTATATACCAGATCACTTCTCCAGATGATTGTGTATTATTGGTATATACTATATAGGATGTTTAAATAAACTTCTCATTTAAAATGAATAGCTAATGCAACATATTCTAAAAGCTTTGATTTGTAATAATGCCGGCTAATCATGAAGAAAGCATTCCATAGGATTTTCCTGGGAATTTTTGGGGAATTAATATTTTCCTGTGTACGTACAGTTATCAAACATACTACAGATTTGTAGATTTAAGATTTAACACTTTAACTTTCAAACACTTTATTGAATACAAACAAGGCACGAGGAAAGAGGCTGAGTCAGAATTCACATCTTTTGCATCACTATCCACTTCAGCTGTGGTGTTGGATGGGTGAGGGTCAGACTCAAAGAGCCTCAGATTTGCCTGAGCTTCCACCTGTACATTTTTAAGCCTGTTGTGGGCTTTTGTGTGTGTAGAGCCAAAGGGAGACCAGTGGCGCTGAGGCGTAGCTTATTCTGGGAATATTGCTTCAACTGGTGAGAGGGCTTAGGATGAGCAAGTTACATCAGCACAGAATAAACTTTACTAGAACATCAATGAGATCAGTTAGCTAGCTAAAATATTACATCTCATCCATTACATCGATGGATTACTTGAGGATTAGCCGACTAGTTTTCTGAATATTATATATCCACGATTGCAGTTTAACTTTATATTTAAAACAATAACTAAAAATATGAACATAGCACAGTTTAGTGTTTCACTGATCCGGTTTCGACTCAATCATGTGGACATGTAAGTCGTAAGCAGTAGAACTCACAGGTAACTACAAAAGTGGTACAAAATGACCTGTTGGCAGTGCATTGTAAATTCCCAAAGTTCCCATGAAAAACTTCCATGCAAACTTCCCAGAATGTTTCCAGAAATTTACCGGAAATATTCCACCCCCTCGTAACTCTACACACAAACATACCTGGAAACAATGACTCACAATGTAGTTCTGATAATACGTTCATTTCATAGTAGTTTGATAAAAAAAAATTGTTCAAAAACCAGCTGATTTCAGATCATTTTATCAACTTACTTTAAGGTGCTTGACACCAAAGAATTTCTATGGAAGCCGATCAACAGTCTTTGTCATATCCTGTGATTATATGTATGTAGAACATTTCATTGACATTCCTGGTCTATCCTGTTTTTTAAAAACTTTTTCAGGATTGCTAAATCCAAAGTAAGAGATCTCAAAGTGATCATCCATTTCAGTTTTACATTAAAACTCTTAAACATTTCATGCATATTGGCTTAAAAGAATTATGACAGAATATCATTTTTACACCACTTATGTGGACTAATGAACAAACATTCTAAAGATAAACCATTGATTGTGGGGGAAAGGAAAGACTCAAAACAATTTTAAGTAAAATTTATTCTTCACTTTAGCTGGCATGAAAGAATGTCAGACGAGACATTTCATGCAAAGCAAAACTGAAAAAGCTTAAATTCATTGTGGGCAGGTGCGTTTTAGTGAATGTCAGTTTTATTAATTGTACATTAATTGAATGAACAATTGAAATGGCATAATGGAAGTGGATGGTCTTGTTTGAGAGCTCCTTAAAGTTTTGCAAACAACAAACACCCAGCCTCGGACCCCAAAAGAAAGACACAAATTCCTGTAATGATTCATTCTGAAGTTGAGCTTGTATCGCCTTTATTAAATACTTCAGTCTCAACTACAGTAAATGATTACAAAATGTTGCGTTCTCTGAAATAGGGATTTACAAAGCTGACATTTTTCCATTTTGTAAAGGAAAAATTACAACATGCCTTGGTGCATTCTGGTCACGCAAGGCTGTCTGAACCTAGGTGGAAAGTGCATGTTTTTTTTTTGCTTTCTTTTTCTCAATTTTTTAAAAACTTCCTGATCTGATTTTTTTCTTCTTTCACTGTACAGGTTGCACATCTTAAATTACATCTTATTTTGAGTACAGCAAGGAAACTAAAAAAAAGGATCAAATTCAAATGCCAAACAACAAAACAAAACAGATTTTCTTTGTTAAGTATAAAAAATAAATAAAGATGATATATTACACAAAAAAATCAGGAGCGGATTTCCATT